TTAGTTCGGTGCCCACATTTAATTAAGGCGAAACTGCTTTTGTACACAGTAACTTCAACCGTCGATTTCCCCCAACATAAAAGCTCATTCCTGCAAACTAACGATGCCAGCTGGTAGAGAAAACATTCATCTTCCTGTTCCTGTTGGTGTCGTTATTTTGCATGTTAGCTTTTATGCAATTGCGCCCCTTTGAAATGTTAATGCAGCCATTCCATAGCAAAACAAACTATAGAGTGTGTTGCGGCACACGACAATCATAGACCTTCGGACGTCTTTTTAGCAAACCCAGTTTGTTTTGTGGGAATATGCTTTAAGCTATAAATTTTATTTTAATTAGTTTTAAGTGTAAAGTAGAATATATAGAAATCTTACATTGTTTAGTCCAATTTTAATTTGTTTATCGTGTTGCAACTTCTTGTATATATCCTCGATTATTGTCTATTAATTTAACACAATATTTAGTTCCATGTATGTAATTCAATTTCGTATACTTACAATTGTGTGTAGTTCAAATCTTAGTTTAATGTAATTTGTTTTATTAATCACTGACTACAAACTTTTCCAAAAATATACTTCTTTTTCATCTTTCTTTTAACCTACCATCTACCAATGACATTCCAACGCTGTCAACTTGACGTTCAATAGCTTCCCCATGGAAACTGTAGTGAACGTTTGCAGACAGTTCAGACGGGCAGCTTGCCAAGGTTGTTATGATTCGCGAGGTGTTCGCTTTCGCCAACATTCCCCGCCCCGTATTGCTGGATGTCTTCTCCAGTCATACCTCTTCTCAACACATCGAGCACCGCTAATCTTGCAACCGGCCGTTGGAGTATTCCTCTGGCTGTCTGTACTTCTGCACTGCGTATCCTTCCGTCCTTTCCACGATGCACTTCCAAAACCTTTCCCCTAATCCAGCTGTTCTTAATACCTTCATCCACTATGATGACCAAATCTCCTGGTGTCACTGGTTTGATGTCGTTGAACCACTTGGTTCGTCGATTGATGGTCGGCAGGTATCCTTTGATCCATTTCGTCCAGAATTGATCTAAGAGATACTGGACGTGATTCCAGTTTGACCTGAGGGCTCTCCCTTCATCAGTTGGCATCTTGGCTGGTTGCACAACTCCATTAGAGCTCAAAAGCAGGAAATGATTAGGTGTTAGTGCTTCATCGTCCTGTGAATCTAGCGGAACGTATGTCAATGGCCGTGAATTGATAATGGACTCCGCTTCCGCCAAGTATGTGCGAAACGTTTCTTCGTCAGGATTCCGTGACGTGGAGAGAGTTTCTAAGGCGGCCTTCACTGAACGTACCATACGTTCCCAAACGCCACCCATATGAGGTGCAGCGGGTGGGTTGAAGTGCCACTGTGTGTCGTAGTTAGTAAAAGTTCCCGCCAACAAACGATTGATGCTGTCAATCTCCTTCTTTAGTTCTCTACTTGCTCCTACAAAATTCGTGCCCTGGTCGCTGTAGATGTCTTGAGGTGCACCCCGCCTTGAAATGAACCTCCTGATAGCCATCTTGCAAGATTCAGTCGACAGTGTACTTGCCACTTCCAAATGCACAGCTCTCACCGTCAGGCACGTGAACAACATCACCCACCGCTTGACGCTACTTCTTCCGATGCGAATCAAATATGGCCCACAGTAATCAACGCCCACGAAAGTGAACGGTCTAACGTACGGTGTGACTCTTGCTACTGGCAATGGAGCCATACGAGGATTCATGGGAAAAGCTCGATAGACATTACACCACGTACATTGCCTGGCAACCCGTCGAACAATCGATCTCAAAGCAGGAATATAGAATTTTTGCCGGATCTCATTCGTTACGGTTTCCCTGTTTGCATGTCCGTACCGTCGGTGATACGATTCAACTAGCAGCTGTGTTACGTAATGGCTTCTCGGCATAATAACAGGAAACTTTGTTGCATCAGATACTCCCGGTGCTGCGCTTATTCTACCGTCGACTCTCAGCAATCCCGCTTCGTCCAGAAACGGAGATAAATTTCGGAGCGGGCTATACTTCTCCAGCTTAACTTGTTGCTCTGGAGGAAGTGAACCGTTCTTCTGTATGGTCAGGATCTCATCCGGATATGTTTCCAGTTGTATTGACCGCCACAGAGTAGTTTCCGCTTTCCGTTGCTCTTCTCGAGATAGAATCATTTGGTCCGGAAGCTCCGTATGGAATCTTTTCCGGCATTTGGCGACGAACCGTAGAGCAAATGATACGCTTCTTTGTAGGCTCTCTATTCTTGAAAACCTATCGTAAGCAAACAGTGGTTTTGGTGCTTCACGATGGTGTGCATAAATTGGTCGTATTTCCTCCGTGGTATCAGGACTAGGTAACGACTTGGATGGCCACAACGCTTCTTCCTCGTACAAGAATCCTGGTCCCCGAAACCATCTGCTGTCGTCTTCGAAGCAAGGTCCTTTGCCCCACTTAGTGGCTTCATCCGCTACGTTGAGGGTTGACGGTACGTGTCTCCAATCGCCTAGGTTAGTTTCCGAGAGTATTTCACTGATTCGAACAGCAACGAACTGTCCGTATTTTCTTTGATCCGACTGTATCCAGGAGAGCACTGTTGTTGAATCACTCCACATCACTCGGCGACGTATTGGCAGCGTATGACCTTCAACAACTGACTTCATCAATCGGGACCCTATCACCGCAGCTTGTAGTTCTAGCCGTGGTACTGACAAGGTTTTTAGTGGTGCTACTTTTGTCTTCGACGAAATTAGAGCACACCGTACGCCTTCACGATCAACGATGCGAAAGTAAGCAACGGCAGCGTAAGCCGTCTCACTCGCATCCACGAAAACGTGAACGTCCACACTCTCCAAACTGCTCGGCTCATAACCAGGAAAGTAGCACCGAGAGATTGTCACTGTGTTGATTTTATGAAGTATGTTCACCCACCGTTGCCAACGATCGTAGATCTGTTCAGGGATCTGCTCATCCCAACTCGTTTTGGTTCTCCAAATATCCTGGACAATACACTTTCCATGTACAACGAACGCCGCTACCAATCCGAGTGGGTCAAAAATACTCATGACTACACGGAGAGTTTCTCGCTTCGTTGGAATCCTCGTACCATCTAGCAACGGTAGAATTTCGTTCCGGAAGTTGATGTTGAAAGAAAAAAGGTCTTGTTCCGGCAGCCATACCATTCCGAGGATTCTTTCGGAATTTGTGGTCTTGTCGGCTATAAAGTTTTTAGAGTTCTGAGGAATTGGATCCCCTATCTGCTGAACGACATCTTTCGAATTGGATAACCACTTGCGAATATCAAATCCGGCTTTCGCATGAACGGCTTTTACCTCTTTTATCAGCTGAACCGCTTCTTCCTCGGTATCCACGCTGTCGAGGTAGTCGTCCACATAGTGGTTCTCCTGAATAGCAACAGCAGCTCTGGGGTACTGCATTTTCCACTCTTCAGCGTTTAAGTTTTTTACGTATTGAGCGGAGCATGGAGAGCAAGTTGCTCCGAATATTGCCACGTCCATCACGTAAACTTCCACCTGCTCTCCTGGTTCGTTACGGAATACGAATCGTAGAGACTGTCGATCTCGGGAACGCATTAGCATCTGCATGAACATTTCCCGTATGTCTCCCGATATTGCTACCTCTCGTTGACGGAAACGATACAAAACGGACAGAAGTGGTGTCAAAAGGTCTGGCCCCGTTAACAGCATAGAATTCAGTGAAACTCCTTCGACCTTTGCCGCTGCGTCCCATACGATGCGAATTTTCCCTGGTTTATTCGGGTTTAAAATTACACCCAATGGTAGATACCAAGTCCTCCTAGGATCACTATTGACCGCCTCCTCTTCCGTCAATTTGTGTGCGTATCCTTTCGCTTGAAAGTCCATGATCTGCTGCTTAACGTTGTCGTACACCTCCGGCATCTTCGACAGCTTCTTCTCCAGGCATTTCATACGTTGCTCGGCCATAGACCGACTATCAGGAAACTCTATGTAATCGTACTTCCATAAGAGGCCCGTTTCGAACCTTCCTGATGGTGTGCGAACTGTTGTTTCCTTGAGAATTTGACGAGCTCGTTGATTGTCTTCTGATTCGATTGCAGGTACTGCCGATATTCCAATGCTTTCCACGTTGAAGAACCTCTTGACCAAATCGTGAAGTTCTTGATCTGGAGATCGCGCACAGATATGAAGATGACGATACTCTTGGGGTACGTCTGGACCTTCAACATTACCGTACAGCGTCCAGCCAAGTTTGGTTTTTGCAGCAACTGGTTCGTACACTTTTCTATCCCTCTTTTTAAGCGTAACGATCAACTGCGCGTTATCTACGCCGATGAGAATACGGGGAACTGCATTCGTATAGCTTGCCACAGGAAGTCCCCGTAGATACGTGAACCTTTGTGCAATCTGCTCAAACTGTAACGTTTGCGGTGGTAGATCGAGGTTGTCGACTGTTCGCACGCCGTCAAGGGCATACACTTTTCCACCATCAACTCCTGAAATGCCTATGCGAATTAGTTGAGATTCTGTTTCCGTTCTTCTGATGCTACCGGTCCATTGTAGACAAAGTGGTTCTACCTTGCCTTTAACTCCGAGCTCCTCCGCTAGCTCCTTCTCGACCAACGTGAATGACGAACCATCATCGAGGAACGCCAGGGTCTCCACTGACGCTTGCTTCCCGTGTATAATAACGGGTACAACACGAAACAGGGTTTGACGTGGCAGTTGTCGATGAACGTTCACTGTTCCAGAGGTTGTAGGCTGGTCTTCGGTTTTCACTTCGGGTTTACCAGGATGTAGCAGCTTATGATGACGTACTTCGCATCCGTTTGTTCCACACGCTGGAGCTTTACACGGCCACTTGCCATGTGCAGTAAGGCAACGCCTACACAGATTTAGCTGTTGCACCGTTTTCCATCGATTATCCAGATCCAAACCCCTGAAGCTAAAGCAGTCTCTTATTCTATGTCCTATCTTCTTGCACATCAAGCAGGGCTTAGGAGCATCCACACTCTTTTTCGGTTCTCTTCTTTCGGATTTGTGTTCGTCCTCCACAGAATGAGCATTTAAATACCCCTTTTCCTTGCCTCGAGGTTTTTCTGGTTTCTTCAAAACCTCCGTGCACAGAGTGACGTTGCTCGCAGCCGATACCAACGTTGACATGTAATCGCCAAAGGCACGGATGTCCACCATTGGCAGCTGACGCTGGTACAAAGCCCAATCCAATTTTACTCCCGCTGGAAGCTTATCCACCAACTCTTGCAACAAGTTTGGATTTGATAAGTGAGCCTCCATACCTAATGACTGCAAATGACTGCATAGATTCTGTACCACCAGACCAAAGTTGATCAAACTTTCTAACCTATCTGCCCTCGGTGCTGGGGTTGAGTGCACCTTGCTAAGCAAACATTTCACTATTAACTCCGGCCGACCGAAAAGTGTCTGCAATGTTCCTAGAATCTGTGGAACGGAAGACGGGTGAAGGAGATGACATCGTACAGCTTCCCTAGCGGTTCCCTTTAAGCAGCGTTGAAGCCTCATAAGGTTTTCTGCATCAGTATAACCACACATGCTAGTAGAGTTATCGTAACTGCTAGCAAACAAAGGCCAATCAGCTGGGTCACCTGAGAACTCTGGTAATTCTCTTGGAACGACGTGTCTAGCGGCGATTTGCTGAGCAGTTGGTCCAGCTGCCAATACTGGCTGTGCTGTACCTTGCGAAACCATCGGAGTAACTATCGGTTGAGAATAGCTTGGGACAGTTTGAACAAACGGAGGTGGAGGGAACCCAGGAACCACTGGGACAGTGACCGAATTTCCCAAAGGCATTGTGCTAGTTACACGCGATTGCAGCAGAGGATGGACGAACTTTCCCGATGCAGAAACAGGATTTGATATACCAGCTGCAGCAGTTACCGAGCAATAGCTCGTACCACTTTGACTGAAGGTCACCACAGGGACATTGTGTTGAGACCTACCTTGGAACGGTATTATACTTCCAAGAGCAGTTACCGTGGGACCACACACGCTCGGGCCAGAGTAGTTAGTTCCATGGGTAGGTTGCGTTCCTCGCTTAGACTCATCTTGATGAAGCAAACGGTACAGTTGTTGCTGAAGATCATGTATCTGCCGATGAAGCATATTCGTTTCGGTAGTAGTAGTCGTAGGGTGCAACATATTAACACCTGTCAAATGTAGCATCTCTTGTTGTCTGCTGGTAAGCGGAGAAATATTCAGAGCTGCCGTCGTTGATACCGGAGTGCTTATTCCATGAATTGTATGTTGCTTGAACGGATCTGGATCAGACAGAATCGGATATTGCGAGACCTGCCCTTGCTGAGTTGTTTGCGGTTTATTAGCAGAGGTTGTCGTTAGAAACTGGAGAGGCAAACTAATTCCAGGAGTAAAGTTGGGTAAAGGCTGTCCCCTGAACGGAAATAATGGATTCCAAGGTACTGAAGTTACTGTGGTTGGCATTATTCCTTCAAGATCTTTGGTAACACTGACTGGTGTAGAAGTGACACCAGGAACCTGGTTATTTGCAGATGTCCGATTGGGAAACTTTACATTGTTCGACGTGGAATCGGTGGGGAGATTGTTTGTCCCATTACCGGTGGCCAGGGCCGAATCGTGGTGTTTCCTAAACCAATCCTGGACTGTGCTCCTAACGCTATGGATACTTCGGTGACTCTGTACACATCTGTCGTCGTCGTCCTCCTCTGCGGTGGCTTGAAGAATGTTATACTTCTTCTTTATGTACTGCATCTGTAACTCCTGCATCCTGAGCCGTGCCTGTTCCTTCCTTTCTTTCTCCTGTTCCATCGCTTTCTTCTGTAATGCAGCTTCTTCATCCTGCTGTTGCGTCAGTAGCTGCTCCTCCAGAGCTTTTTCCTCGGCAAGTCTTTGTAGTTCCAACTCTTGACGAGCAAGTCGTGCACTCGAAGAAGTAGATCTGCTGGATTTCGAACTTAATGGAGCTGGTCGGGGTGCACACTTAGTACAAGAAAAGCTCCTATCCTTGATACTCTCATCCACTTTAGCGCAGATGAAATGGTACCATTGGTCACAAGAATCGCACTGTACCATCCATTTGTCTGCCACATCCGGCTGATTACATGCGGGACATTGACCGAACACTGCACTTTCCTCTTCCGACAGCATGCGTACTATGCTGAGCCGATTATTTTTTCTCGTTCCCGACATTCTTCTCGTTCCCAGTGCACTGGTGGAAGAAAGACGCCTTCCGAATTGAGGTTAAACAATCTTAAAGAATGTTGCGGCACACGACAATCATAGACCTTCGGACGTCTTTTTAGCAAACCCAGTTTGTTTTGTGGGAATATGCTTTAAGCTATAAATTTTATTTTAATTAGTTTTAAGTGTAAAGTAGAATATATAGAAATCTTACATTGTTTAGTCCAATTTTAATTTGTTTATCGTGTTGCAACTTCTTGTATATATCCTCGATTATTGTAATTGTGTGTAGTTCAAATCTTAGTTTAATGTAATTTGTTTTATTAATCACTGACTACAAACTTTTCCAAAAATAACAATCTTAAAGAATGTTGCGGCACACGACAGTCGTACACCTCCGGCATCTTCGACAGCTTCTTCTCCAGGCATTTCATACGTTGCTCGGCCATAGACCGACTATCAGGAAACTCTATGTAATCGTACTTCTTGTATATATCCTCGATTATTGTCTATTAATTTAACACAATATTTAGTTCCATGTATGTAATTCAATTTCGTATACTTACAATTGTGTGTAGTTCAAATCTTAGTTTAATGTAATTTGTTTTATTAATCACTGACTACAAACTTTTCCAAAAATATACTTCTTTTTCATCTTTCTTTTAACCTACCATCTACCAATGACATTCCAACGCTGTCAACTTGACGTTCAATAGCTTCCCCATGGAAACTGTAGTGAACGTTTGCAGACAGTTCAGACGGGCAGCTTGCCAAGGTTGTTATGATTCGCGAGGTGTTCGCTTTCGCCAACAGAGTGGTTCTCAGAATGTCGTAAAAATTGGTAGTTTTGTTCCTCATTGCAAAATATTAGACCCATATTTTTTTTTGTCATTAGAGTGACCATGTTAGGGTGATCCAAAAAATCGGTTTTTTTTTTCGTTCAAAAATTTATTTCAATTTATAACTTTTGAACCACTGGGCCGATTTCAAAAATCAAAATATCAAATTAAAAGTTTTTAAAAATACTGTTTAGGAAAAATATTATCATATTAAAAATTCTGTTTTTGTGTTGGAAAACATTGTATTTGTTTTTTTTTTATGGTTTTCATGGTTTGTGGTGGTGTTTGACAGAGGGCGCAATATGTTTTTTTTTATATTTATCGTTGAAAATTTGAAGTTACTGAAACTCGAGGACTATTGAGTGTTTTTTCTTCTAGATTTTAATATTCCTGGAGTTGAACAGTTCTTGAACCTGCAGAAGTTTTCAAAGTAACGGATTTTCTTTGTTTTGTTTTCAAAGTTCTCAGAGTTGCATTCCATAACTCAAAGGCGTTAGGATTAGAAGGTCAGAGTACGGAAATTCTTCAGTTTTAAGAACTTGCTTAAGTTACAGAAGTACATGAAGTTCTTGCGGTTTTTAAATTAAATTAAATTAAATTAAAATTGCGGTTTTCAATGCTCTGAGAGTTCCATAGGAATTTTAGTAAATTAATGCTTTTTAAATGTATGCATTTAACTTTTAAAGTTAATTCTCGGTTACTTTTTCAAAGGGACGTATCAGTTTTTTTTAAACAATGCATTTGGTCGTCGATTTGGCGTAACTTGTTGTTCGCCTAAGCATCCTAACACTACCATCAGATTGGGGAATTTTCCCCTACCTGATAGTGGTGTTAGTATGCGTTAGCGAGCGACCAGTTACGCCAAACCGACAACCAAATGCATTGTTTACAAAAGCTGATACGTCCCTTCGAAAAAGTAATCGAGAATTCAATTTTTAAACACATTTTCGATCCTACCAAAAATTATAAAACGTGATCAAATATGTTGATTTTAGATTCTACGAGGAAGCTGTTTATGCAACTGTCCACTAAGTGTGTACCTGCCGTACTGATGTACACTAAACAAACAGGTGCCGCTGGTAGTGGAATAAATGTATAGTCTTCAGTGTATTGAATCCATTTTCATTATCAATAAAAGCAATAGTTCGTATGGCTGGTTCATAGTCCGCCATGGCAGGACGACCACACAATCGTTCGTCTTTTGATTTATAAAATAACAAAATAACACAACTTAAGAAAAGGTCGTGCCCGTGCGCGATCGGAGGCTTATCAAGTTTCTTTTGACTGAATTCAAATTCCGAAGCCAGTATCAGTGTTTATACTTAATTTCAGTTCTGTGAGATTGGAAACAAGAAAAGTTTTGTACCAAGGTTCTGATTCTTGGTCAAATATCAGTATCTTCGCTTGGTTTTGTCACTAAGGACACTTATTTTGATTGATTAAAAAGGTGCATCTTTGTAGAGGTCCCAGAACTCTTCGAATGATACCACGAACGCTATACGTGGTAGATCTAGTGGATCGAATGATCCGAATTCCAGGACGATTTGGAGAACCTGGAACAGCTACTAGATCATTTGGTCTGAGGTCCTGGACGATTTGGAGAACCTAGAACACCTTATATACAAAAGAAATTGATCTGAATTGATGCCACTCAACAGCTTTGCCAAAGACCGTAACCAGGGGATATGGTCAGGATCCCAAAACCCAGATCGGACTCGATTATCCGGAGCCCTAATTTATTTTCTGTAGTATTGAATTTGAGTAAGCAAAAACAAGAAGCATACTGTAAATGGATCAACCATTGATCCATTTTAACCATTTTGAGCCAGTGTTTGCTTGGTGGATTTGAGAGATGTGATTTGAATTAATGATCAGTTTGAGATCTTCAGTACAATAGTACCTGATCAACCTGACGTCTTACCAAAATATCCAGATGACTTTATGGAGATCTTAAAACACGCGAAGAACTTTGACATAATTTCTAAGC